AAGTATTTACTATTTACTTTTGTAAAGTAAATATATTTACTAGTAAATAAATTTTTCATTCAGTTTATCCTTCGCATCCATACGAAAAAATAAAATATTTCTCATCAATTCTAACTATTTCGAATAAGCTGCGATCATGTGACACGAAACCATTAAATCTTCTACTTACAAGTCTATTTTTCGTCGAAACACTCAAAAGATGTATATTTTGCGATGATTGCAGACTTTTATTTCTAATCTTATGGTCAAATGATTTATGACTCGAAAGACAGTTACTTTTCTTATGATCATGCTCGATCTTCTGCAATCACAGAATTCGTTCATTTATTCATTGAACATGTCACTCAGTTTCACATGAAGGTTTACTGTTCAGTTTTCTTGCTTCTTCTATTTCCATTTCGACCTTAATAGTTTTGTGAAGATTTTAAGCGTTCGCCTTGTGTTAGTTTCATTTCATATTTACACCATAGACAGGTACTTTAATTATATTAACCAAAGTAGAGAATAGATGTGTCAGGGTTGTGGTTCTCTAGTGTTCCTTTCCCAAGGAACCAGGACGCATTTAATACGTGCCGTTCGGCGTTTTTTAGCAATTTTTAAATATAATGATGTGTTTATAAACTTCTGCTTATCTTGTTTACGTGAGACTATTATGCGTTACCATTCCTAGGAGCAGGAATGCGGCATCCATAGTAAAGAAGCATGCATCTACATCATGTCTACAGGGAGGAAAATTATTGTTGTAGCATTCATTTATACTATCCAACTTTAATGACACAATCTGTGCAGTCATTGGGCGAACTTAAATACTTATATTCTCGTGCAACTATAAACGTTAAACAGTCTTACTTTTAAAGTATTGTACAGTTGTGATGGCATTTTTCAAAATTTGATTCAAAAGGAACACTGAAGTACAGAAGTAGAAATTTGAAATCTTCTCCAATGCACGGGTCGTGGCAGATAACACCATCGGAACGGCACAGATCGTAACAAACATACTGACGAAACGGAAGTCTACTACTGGATTAGTGTGAAATACGAACTAGTTTAAAATATATGAGCTTTATTCTTTTTTCAAACTCATTGTAACATATTTTGATTAACAATTTTCATCCTCAGCATGCTCTAATGTTAGATAGCACTATATCAGTGAAGTGTGTTGATGAAATTCCGCATTGACAATGTAAATAGCTGCATCATTTTTTACATTTTAATACCGGAGAGACTGTGATGGGAGCCCTTTTCACCGTGATTATCTTCTTACAACTGATGCACTAGTATTTTCGGTTTGATATTGAATTGATTCAAGAGCGGTCATAATAAGAGTTCTTACAGTCATGATTTTTTTTGTCCAGTGTAATCGATCAAAAAAATAATATAAGCATGGTCAGTCGGACTGATACGCCACGGTTTATTCGTTTAGATAGCTTCAACGATTTATGAATAACTTGTGACTTTTTTACTAGTTGTAGTGCATATATAATGCTAATGATCTGGTAGCATTTGAGATATATGTATCAATAAGAACGACACTTGTTAAGTATTTTCTTATAATCATTGTGTTAAAGATACTGCACATCTGATTTACTAACAAGTCGTTCTCCGTATATATTTCGTGGGCGATAAGATTTCATCCATTCTATCGTATTTTTGTGTTCTAGTTCTATCATCCTCGTTCAAACTACAACTTTTTGTCTTGATTTTTTTTGTTCTTCTTTTTCTTTAACACATTTTCACTCAAGCACAGAGGGTTACATCTTTGCAATATGGTTTCTCCACATATTGAATGGGATTATTCTGAATGCCGACCTAGCACGACTGATCGCCGAAAGTACTCTACCAAGTGCCAATCAATGTTAACTTGGACATGCATTGGTTCGGGAAAATCTGGTTAATACACGAATTATTATCGACATCGTGACACCGGTAGTTATTGTACACCAGAACTCGAAGAAGACAGACAACAGAAAATGGAAGAGAAGCAAGTTGCTATACAACAACAGTTTCAAGCTTCAGATAATGGTAAGTGACATTACTCTTCTTAGTTTACACATGCACCTCTCATTCCATTCATTTTGTAGAAGAACGTCAGTGGTCGAAATGGAGATGTACTAATGAATCTTGTGTACAACAAACCGGGCATGACATCGAACAAGTACAAGAACTGTATTTTGTGTGTGAACAATCCAAAATAAATGATTGCTCCCATAGGAACAAGCAACATAGAGATAATAGAATCACACCATATTTATCTCCTATGAATTTGCTTGCGATTACATTATGGTACTCGAAGCATTATCATACCGAACGTTATATTGCTACAAAATTAAATTTGAGTCGATCAACAGTGAATTATTTCTTATCAGAGGTTGTGGATATTTTGCATTCCTGCGTATATCCAGAATTAACTTCGTTACCTGCTGATATGTCTAACACAATCACAGTACATGAACCTAAAGAGCACCATAAATTAATAGTTGATCAACT